ACATGACTTCGAGAGTATTTTGTGAAAATTTCATAAAAAAATTTTCATTTTTGGACCTTTGAGAGCAAATCTACGGAAAAGTCGTGAAAATTCTGGTGAGGAACGTAACTTTTCACAGAATCATCTGAAACGAAAAATGCAAAATTACCTCATTAGTTTATGAGTTTTATCAGGTACTGACGTAGAGTTTTTTCAATTATAGTGATTTTTCGAATTTTGACGTAATTTTGAAGTTGAAAAAAACGTTAAAATTGCGTCCAGACATGAAAAATCGACCTTTTTTTCGGAAAAGTTGTTATAAACAAAAAAATTTTCGGAAAAATCGAAATATCTCGACGTCAGTACCTGCTCAAAGTGTTTATAAAGAACTGTGCAAATTTTCAAAAAGATCGGTTGAATACTTTTTGAGTGACGTTCCTCACCGATTTGAAAAATGTCATTTAGAGGAATCGCAATCGTTGCATCAAAGATACAACATTATACGTCAAGATTTTTCAAATCGGTGAGGAACGTCACTCAAAAAGTATTCAACCGATCCTTTTGAAAATTTGCACAGTTCTTTATAAACCCTTTGAGCAGGTACTGACGTCGAGATATTTTGATTTTTCCGAAAATTTTTTTATTTATAACGAATTTTCTGAACAAAATAAATTGACGTGAAATCCCACAGATAGCATATAGTAATCGAATTAAAAGTTCAATATTTTCGTCAATTTTGCTCAGATTAGGCTGAAATTTTCACAGAATACTCTTGAAAGTATAAACAATCAAATAAAACAATAAAAAAAAAATCAAAATTTTTCGAGGTCAGGACCATACCCCCCCCCGTAATGTTGGAATGATAAATTCATTTTGTATTACTTTTTATAGTTAACTAATCGTTAATGTAAATCGAAACTTTCAGCAGTGTTTTGAATTCCTTTGACCTTAAAATACCTTCAAAATTGATTGGATTTTTCAAGCTCATAACTTTGTTAATAAAAAATTACAGAGGAACGTGGAGTCGATTACGAATTTCGAGTTGCTGGAAGGAATGCTATGGGTTACGGTCAAGAACAAGTTCGAAATTGGTTTAGTCAGGAAAGCGCACCGAGCGGTGCTCCTATAAATCTGAATTACAATTTCCAAACACCTGATACGGTCTGCATAACTTGGGAACCACCACCACCAAAATTCAGAAATGGTCACATCGTCTCTTACAACGTACAATTTCATAAAAAGATCGATCATACGAGCGAGGTAAATTTGATCCAGTGATTCGATGCTTGTCAGTTAAATGTGCAAATCTAAAAATTTTGTTTCTTTTAGGTAACACGTAATACTACAAAAACACGGGCTGTCTTCATAGAATTAGAAGAGAATACTGAATACGTTTTCCACGTCAAAGCTCTTACTCTACGCGGTGGTGGTCCGTACTCGGAGAAGTTGTTTATTACTACAGACAAGGATATCGGTCGAGCGCCAATGTCGGTGAATGCTGTGGCAACTTCGGAGTCAAGTGCTGAAGTTTGGTGGGATCCGGTACCAAATCTAAGCAAAATTGTTGGCTATCAAATCTTTTACACCACTACTGCTGTTGAGGATCTCGATGAATGGAAAAATAAGAGCGTTGGCTTAACAGAATCAGCGGATTTATTAAATCTCGAAAAGTACGCTACTTACGCCGTTGCTGTGGCTGCTCGCTACAAAACTAATTTAGGACGACTAAGCGTCAAAACTACTGTAAAAGTCTGGCCCGAAGATGTTCCGTTGCAATTACGAGCACCGGAAGTTTCGACGCATTCGATGGTTCTGTCGTGGACGACACCGCTGAAACTCAATCCCATCAACTACAAAATATCTTTTGACGCGGTCAAAGAGTTCGTTGATTCACAAGGAATGACTCAAACGCAGATAGTACCAAGACGCACGATACTCTTGGACGCTAATACCTTGAGTACCGAAGTCAAAGATTTGCAGCCATTCACTACGTACAACGTGAACGTTAGCGCTGTACCCCCAGATCAAAAGTACAGACCTCCATCGAAGATCACTGTCACTACCCAAATGGCTGCGCCGAAACCCATGGTCGGCCCTGCTTTTTATGGAGTTGTTAACGGCGAGGAAATTCAAGTTATACTGCCACAAGCTTCCGAAGAGTATGGACCAATTTCCCATTACTACTTAATCGTCGTGCCAGAGTCCCTGGAAACGGCAAATAAGCAGCCAGATGAATTTACGCAAGATCAACTGGTTGGCAAAAATTCTAAAGACAACAATCCCAATAAGCCTTATGTCACTGCCAAATTTCCTCATCGTGATATTCCATATACTTTCCACCTTGGTGACGATGGTACATATGAAGGATTTTTAAATGCCAAACTTGACAAAATGAAGCGTTACAGAATATTTGTTCGAGCAATTGTCGATACGCCGAGAAAAGTATGAAAATTGAAATGTCAACGATACTCTATATTTTAATGATTAATTTACTACATTTTTGATAATTTTTTTTAGCATTTGTACACGTCCTCGCCCTTCTCAGAATATTTGTCGTTGGATATGAGAGAGCCACCACCAGGTGAGCCTCCACGTCGCCCACATCCGGATTCGCCCATCGATGGTAACCCAGAGGTTTCCGTTGATAGGAGTGGCCAAGAACCCGGTATGGTCTGGGTGGTTGGCCCCATTATAGCTGCTCTCATGGTCAGCGTTTGTTTGGTTCTGCTATTCGTAATTAAAAAGTAAGCGATAGAAATAAGAATCTCAATGTTTTCTTTTTCATGAATTCTGTTTTAATTGCTAGTGCATTTACACATTAATTTATCATTTCATATATTTTAACTCATTTGCATTGTTAATGTTTATTTTTTAATCATTGTGCATGCACCCTGTGTGTTTTTCGTTTGTTTGTTTTGCTTGTTTCTCATCCTGCATCGAAGAAGTAAAAAACTCCAATCATCTCGTAGACGCAGACAGCCATGTAAAGCACCTGACCAGACGGCAGTAACAAGGCCTTTAATGTCCGCTGACATAAATACTAATCACGCTCCGTCCGATCCAGTCGAGATGCGTCGGTTGAATTTCCAGACGCCCGGCATGATATCTCACCCGCCTATACCCATTAGCGAATTAAGCAATCACATCGATCGTTTGAAAGCGAACGACAATCTTAAGTTCAGTCAAGAATATGAATCTATAGAGCCTGGACAGCAGTTTACGTGGGATCATTCCAATATGGAGGTATGATTGGGATATTTAAATTCTGCTCACTTTTTAGAACAAGCATTACAATCAATATTTTATGTTTCAGGTCAACACATCCAAGAACCGTTACGCTAATGTAATAGCCTATGACCATTCACGTGTTATACTGCAAACGGTCGATGGCATACCCGGTTCAGATTACATTAATGCCAATTACTGCGACGGGTATCGAAAGCAAAATGCCTATGTAGCTACGCAAGGTCCATTAGCGGACACTTTCGGAGATTTTTGGCGCATGTGTTGGGAAGTAAGATCCAGCACAATCGTTATGATGACCAAACTTGAGGAGAGAACGAGAATCAAATGCGACCAATATTGGCCAACTCGAGGTACAGAGACTTATGGACAAATGCAGGTCACGATTGGCGATGTTCAAGAACTGGCTACTTATTGCATAAGAACATTCCAAGTAAGATTACACCTTTTTACAGGCTCAATTTTATTTACCTCAATTGAAATCCCGAAATCATCCTCGATATTTTTTTTTACGTAGGTCTGTAGACACGGCTACAGCGAGCGTCGCGAAATCAAGCAACTTCAATTTACCGCTTGGCCAGACCACGGCGTACCCGAGCATCCAGCTCCATTCCTACAGTTCTTGCGTCGCGTCCGTATTCTGAATCCGTCCGATGCTGGCCCACTGATCGTTCACTGCAGTGCCGGCGTTGGCCGCACTGGTTGTTTCATCGTCATTGACTCCATGCTGGAGCGCATCAAGCACGAAAAAACAATTGACATTTACGGGCACGTCACTTGCCTTCGAGCTCAGCGCAACTACATGGTCCAAACCGAGGACCAGTACGTTTTCATTCACGATGCTCTTCTTGAAGCCGTCATTTGTGGAAATACCGAGGTTCCAGCGAGAAATTTACACTCGCACATGGCTAAACTAATGCAGCTAGAAATCGACAACATAACCGGCATGGAGTTGGAATTCAAAAAGTTGTCGAATATTAAAGTCGACTCAACGCGTTTCATATCGGCCAACTTGCCGTGCAACAAACACAAAAATCGTCTTGTACATATATTGCCTTACGAGTGCACTAGGGTATGTTTGCAACCTCAACGCAACATCGAGGGTTCGGATTACATTAATGCTAGTCTCATTGACGGCTACCGTTATCGCAGCGCATATATTGCCACTCAAGGTGGGTAGAATACCACATGTATATGTGTGATTGTAATTCAACAATAAACACTTCGTTTCATTTTTTAAACTTTGTTCAGGTCCTCTTAACGATACTACCGATGACTTCTGGCGAATGTTATGGGAACACAACTCGACCATCGTAGTCATGCTGACAAAACTGAAAGAGATGGGACGAGAAAAATGTCACCAGTACTGGCCATCCGATCGTTCCATACGTTATCAATGCTTCGTAGTTGATCCGATTGCTGAATACAATATGCCGCAGTACATACTACGAGAATTCAAAGTAACGGACGCTCGCGATGGCTCGAGTCGTACCGTACGTCAATTCCAGTTTATCGATTGGCCCGAGCAAGGTGTCCCCAAGGCCGTCGACGGATTCATCGACTTTATCGGTCAGGTGCACAAAACCAAGGAACAATTTGGTCAAGATGGGCCGATTACTGTTCATTGCAGTGCCGGCGTCGGCAGGACCGGCGTTTTCATCACTCTCAGCATTGTTCTTGAGCGCATGCAGTACGAAGGTGTCGTTGATATTTTCCAAACAGTTAGGATACTGCGTACTCAGAGACCGGCCATGGTGCAAACCGAGGTATGAACTTTTTTTTATGATTTACGACTCGCATTTGACACAACTTAATACTATACAACTATTTATACCAACAGGATCAGTATCAATTCTGTTATCGTGCCAGTCTAGATTATCTAGGTTCGTTCGATCATTACACTAACTGACAACCGATGGAAAACAATACCTTGATGAGACACGAAATGATGATTGACGCTACTGGATCGTCGGTCAGGGGTGTTATCATCGGTGGCAGTAACAATAACAATACCTCGTCGATGGACCGTTCAATGGGCCGAAGTCGCGAACACACGATCGAAAGAGCTGCCAAAGTGCGCAAGGTCTAGTGGTACGACGAGACGTCGTCGTCGCTTACCCCAGCACTACAGCGACGACGTCGCTTCGATCTGCCACCACCCTCTTCGGGCTTTTCTGCCAGCGAATTCGACGAGGTTTAATAGACCATGACCCATTTCTCAGTTACTTGACTCTTGACTTAACTACTCAGTTCATTACTACGCGAGCTTTGAAAAAGTGATATAAATACCTCCCCCCTGACATTCTCTGTATACTCTCGAGGAAATAACCGAAATAAGCAAAAACATATCCAAGTGCATCTTTTTTGCAATTCGATGATTAACAATTTTTTTACAAAATGTATTAGAATGTAGGCTTACTTAGAAATTTAATGAGCAAATGAGCGAGTTTCCAAATGTGAATGATGGTATTACTTATATCTTTATAATTAACGCGAATTCGTAAGAGCTATCTGGAAAACCGGGGTGATTCCAGATATCAAGTGACTATTATACTTATGTTATTACTGCCTGTAACCCCTTTCTATACATAGACTGTGTACAAATAGTCGTTCAGCAAGATGACGTGAAAAAGATTTCGAAAATTATGAATTATAAGTTTTATTTTAAGCTTATGAATTTATCATAAGCAATAATAAATAAACATTGCCAAATCCAATCGTGACAGAAAAAGTTGAATGACTGAACGAGAAGTTTCGATATCTCGTATAAAGATGGCTAGGAAACATTTTGAGTAACTAAATGTGTTAAACATGAATTTTAGGATGTAAGTAAGTTAGTAATAAATGATTATAAGTTTTAGTGTGCATTTAATAAAAGAGGGTCATTAGGAATGCAAAAATATTATATAGAAGTATAATATAAAAAATAAATATGGATTAGCAAGTAATAGTTTTATAAAACTCTGTACAACTCGTTTATTCAACGAATTCAGAGTGGATGGTGAAAGTGTCAAAAAATGTGTGAATAGATAACAAAGCTGATGAAGAAAACGCACTAAATGTTTAAAAATTTCAAACGTTGTTGACCCGTGTTTCTCGTGGTTCCAAATTATGACATATTTAATATCATTAAAAAAACGTGTACAAAGATGAATGTTATAATGATATCGATAATATATACTTAATGTCGTGTCTTTGATATAATGTTAAAATGGACGTCATGAAATTTTGTAATGTCTGACGATTAGTATTTTCGTAATGACTGTGTGTATCACATTCAAAATCATGTTGATTAATTTTTTGTGTCATCGGAACATTGCAATAAATATTTATGAATTTTTTGTGTCGAGCATTTAATTTAATGTTTAGTGTACGGTACTGAATTATATTTGTTTTTTACTTTTAGATTATCAAAAGCTTAATTTTTGAAATTGTAAAAGCGTTTATTAATTTCAATAAGATTTTATAAAATTGTTTTGTAACGGCCGCAGAATTGTTTTGATTGTGTAAAATTGTCCGTGTCGAATTTTTACTTGTTATATTTAATATTTTTCCATAAATGCGTGGAACATCGAATCAATTTGTAGATTGTACAAAAATAAATATTTAAATCAACTTAAGGTATGGGTAGTACGATGTCAATAATTTTTTGATACTTGCGGTTTTTGAATATTTTGAGAAAACATGACTTCTGTCTTCGGTGACAATAAGAAATATGTAGCAGATAAAAAATCTATAATTGAACACGAAGAGTATAACAAAACTATATATTATTGAACGCGAAATGAACTAATCTATTCGATACCAAATGCTGACAAACTCAACTTATCTTGAAATGTTGTGCCATCGAAAATTAAAGACAGATAAAAGATCGCCCCCGATTTCATTAGACAAAGAGTTTTCAAGTTGGTATAAATTAGAAATAAATGCGTTGAATTGTACTTCTGCGCTCTCTTTATATGCTAGAAAAAAAACTAATGAATGGACGCGAGATCACGGGGATTCACTATTGTATATAAAGCACCATCCCACCATGAGTTATAATTTAACTATAAAAATATACGACGTACACATAGATTATTATAAATATTTATTCTTAAAAAGCAATAGAAAAATCATAACGTAATATTTGAATCAATGTGTTATTTTTTCATTTCACTCGGACTGTTATGTAGAAACATTTAGCGCAATTTTCGAAGTATTTTAAGAAACTTCTATGATAGTCTGAGTAATTTTGAAATTTTTTATACGTCTAATTTTTAAATATGCTTGCATAGTGTACATTGCAAAACGTTATTTTAATTTGAAACAATTTTTAACTGTAATGCGTATTTTAAAACGAACTTAAGTGAAGCAAAGAGTAAATTGTTACTATTATTATTGATTTTTATTATTTTGATAAATATTTACGATGAATTCATGCTGTACTTTGTCAATGGAAAATTAAAGGTCATAGTTATTGCAAGCTTTATCCTTTAAATAGTTTTGATATTATATTCGACGAGAGCTTATTTGAAAGTAAAAGTGAAAATTTCTCGTATTGTTTCAAAAAGTTTTTTATTATCATTGACATTTATCACGGTTCTAATAGATTTTACTTAATTGTTGAGTTAGCCATATAAAAATTAAGTTTTGTACTAGTAATCGTAATTTTGGAAGAGGCAAAGTTACAAAATGATGTATAAAATAAATTCAGGCGCAATTCTGTCAATGCTATGCATTGTTAAGGTTTTTTTATTTATTGACTTGATTATAGTAGCGGTAGTGCTTTGGAAAAAACATTGTATAAAATTAATATTGTATCACAGTTATTAGTAAACATCACCTCAATTGTATACGAGTAAAATTTGGACGAATGTGCGCCTTCCGAGAGTTTTTCTTCTCCATCTCTTCAATGTTTTTCGCCACTTTTTAACTATTCTAAAAGTGCATATTTTTTGAATTTTCCTTAAGTTTATGACCATGATGTTGCTATTTTATATTTAAACTGTTCCGTTGTAAAGTTGATCAATACTTACATTTTTACCTATGTCGTCAATTTTTTAATATGTATAATACATTTATATAAAAATGTGAAACTATAAATAGATACCCAATAAAATTGTATGCATTTATTTGTTAACTGTCATATATTAAGCAATTAATGTTAAGTGAAAGACACTTTTATGATTATTATAATTTGTTAAAAAGAATTTTTTTCAAAGAGATTTGAAAGATCGAAAATGATTGTTGTAATCTTTGTCCAGTGTAAAAATAAAGAGAAGAAATTTGAATAATCAATTATTCCGAAAATCCGTAACGTTGAAATTAATCTTATATTTAAAACCAACAAGAAATGGAAGACGTATTTTGTGATACTGACTTGCTACAAAGAATACAGCAATCTATCAAAAAATACACAATATGTTAAAGATCATTAATAAAATGAAAAAATATGAAATATAATATTAATTAATAGAAATCTCTTGAATGAAGAAATCCCATGTACATTATGTATTGCCTGAAGGCTTTAATAAACTAGAAAATAATGTGTAAATTTTGTGTCAATTTCATTAATTTTATTGTCACCAAATTATATTTTGATTTTGTTTTTAATTATATTATATTATAAAATGTAATCTTATAAACTTTAGATAATTGAAACAGAATGATATTTAAAAAAATACTAATTAATATAAATTTATTTAAACAGTTCATTTTGTACAAAACATTCATAGACTTACACACAAGTAAATTAAATTAATATCACAAATTAGTCTAAATTATATTGGTAGGCTGATTCATATTTCCTGCATTTGGGGGGCTCCTAGTCATCATGGTTGCCATCTTCAATGAATAACAAGCAGCATTAGTGGTTATTTATTGAGAAAATATATTCAAATATTAGAATGACATTAAAAAAATACTTACATTTTGTATGACTTGTTTTTTGAAAAAATCTGAAGTTGCAGATGAAATATCTTTATCTCCACCCATCTTACATTTAAAGTAGCCATAGAGATTAGCTCCATTAAGAATCAAAGCAATTACAGCTAGAAGCATCCATTTCAGTTTTAATCCAAATAATGCAACCAATACAAATATTCCCCAAAGTATTGGTGATAGAATCAATGCCATCCAGAATATTCTGGATTCAGAAGGATTGATTCGGTTCTGTTGAGCGCCCTGAAACACAGGGCTTTTATCAGATCAAGTAAAATTATGTTAAATCTTACAGTTTAAATATTTTGAAGTATTATTTCTTATAAGTATAAGTATTTTTGATAAACTCAAAAACAATTTACAAGTGAGCCATTTTAAAAATTATATACAAAATATGTTAAAATGTATACAATACTAACAGATGACAAAAAAACGCTACTGACCTTTCTGGATTCAAAAACCCAGTGACTGACACCATTGTCATCGACATAATTCCACCATCTAAGGCCTACCATTAATCTTCCAGTAATATTTTTGACAGTCCAAAAATCCATTGATAGTAAAAGTATAACAGATACAAAACTAGCTATAAAACTATTTGAAAACCAACCACATAACATATAGGTAGCTATGGCTGTCACTCGAAACGCTAAATGAAAAAAAGTAACATATGGATGCCTAAAAGTATTATAAAGAATTAATTTACAGATTGTATTAAAACTTATTGTTATAATCAATTCTCATACGTAAGCTGTCCTTTTTGTACTGCATCTTCTTCTCCAAATGCTATCGTATCGTCATCCATGAGTAAAGGAACCTGTAAAAAAATTACTTTGTATTGCAGTTCAAATGACACATTGTTTAATAATCTAACTAAGCATTAATAAGTTGAATTGAAAATGTTGTTTAAAAAAGTTACTAATTATAATTATAATGCTCAAAAATTGTAAATTTTAAGTTAAATTTGCAAAACTAATTGCAAATTTATCATGATCTTTTGGTTATTGGAGAATATAAAATGTAAACATAATTATAGTGTGAGATGCAATAATGTCAATTATATTTAATTACTGAATTATGTAAAGATCATTAGAAAATTTTTAAATCGACATGTTCAGTGTATTAAAACATACACGTCAATACAGCAACGAAGCGATCGAGTTGAAAACACGCACACCCAAAGAAAACGTGCGGCAGCTGTAATTTCTGATAAGCAACTAGACCGTAGAAAAAATTACGTACGGTTTATCAGATTCGTTATCGCGACGCCTCGTACAAAATCCCGACGTTAGCTAGGTGTGAATCAATAGCAAAAAATGTGAATTGAAAAAAAAAAACGCGCAGACACACAGACACAGACAAAACTGAGAAAAGCCAAGCAGAAGACGCGGCACTGCTGAACTTACCGAGGCTGACGCCATTTTTCGGAGTTTGACGCACGACTGCGGCGCCCCCCAAGCAGTAGGCGCACGAATCACTGATCAGCGAAAATCGGCTCTGCGACGTTGCCAAAATTTTGCGCTCATGCGCCAACTGGCTCGTTATTATAACTGTACTTTTAAAATGTCATTCTGAAATTGAACGATTTTTCGTTGAATGATTGATCGAATCGATGGATCATCTTTCGTCGCGATGGGACTACGTTGTAGAAAAGAATTCGCGTTCAAACCATTGCCTACATTTGTTTTCAGATATCAATCGTCTGCTACGCGTTAGCGTATCGACTGTAAACGAGTGTCATTACGGAAGGCCGGCAACAGCGCAATGAAATGTTGTATACACTCATGAGAAATGTTATGACGTTGGAGAACAGCGGGCAACCCATACACGATTGCTTACACACGCGTTGCGCCTCCAAAGTGTGTGTGCATAGCTCTCACGCATACACACACACACACACAGACGCAAACTCATTACAGCTGCGAGCGCAGTCATCGTGTGTATAGTCACATGTACACGTATACGTCACGCAAACATCGATGCAACGCGGCGAGACGTCGATTTTCTGCTTTCTGCCCCCGCTTCGCATATTGTGTGTATAGTTGTATTATCTGTCGCGCGACGAGTCGACCAATTGTCTCTGTGCAATATAAGACGGAAGACGAGTCCCGCAAGTGCTTGTAATCGACCAAGGATCAGGCGGCAAAGCTCACTCGACGCGGCTCGGCCGGTTAAATGCACAAAAGTTTACGCGCCTATCGATTAGGAATGAGTCGGCGGCGCATCGCCGCTCTCTGATATACTTTTTTTCATCATTTGCTTAGTATTGCATGCCGCGAATGGTGGAACTGGTGTTTCATAAAAGCGACGAAAATTGCTGCGGCTCGCGCGACGACCTTTGGGCAATTTAAAAAGTGAAAGTATCAGTGTAGATTGCACGACGGATCGCAAACTGGTCACGAGCATGGCAAAGGAGAAAATTGCTCGGCACGTCGAGAGAGGGAAAAGCACCCCCTGCACAGCGAGGTTATAACGCGCCGTGTACAAGTGCGCATATGCGGAGCTTGAAGGGCTCCGACACCGTCCGGCCGCCTCCGACATCTGCTGCAGCAGTAGTGGTGGTGTGCGCACGACAACGCGCTCGCAACGTCGATACGCGCGTATATAGTGTACAAACACGTGCAGCGGATCCGTCAGAATCCAAGAGCTTGACAACAAACGACTGTGTATTATGCTGATCGGCCGCGCGAGAGTGAGAAAAAGAGCGTCGAGCGCTGGACGGATTGCGATGAGCGGTGTTGCGACTATTAGGCAGTTGTGTCAGATTATACAGTAGCGGAGAGAGAGAGATAGGGCATCGGAACGTGCGTGGGTGCTGTGCGAACTCTCAACTCTCCGGTGCTGCTGCCTCGCATACGCACACACACACACATACACATTATATAGAGGCAAGCGCGGCAGATAGTCACACGGACACACGTGAGAGTAAACGAGTGTGTTGTATAGTGGCGTATAGTGCGAGCTGCCGACCGGAAGAGAAGTGATATACGTTGCGCGAGCGATCGTGATATTACCCACAGTCACATAGGCACACGCACACACATAGTTTGCGAATCCATCTATATATGGTGTGCAGCATTGCTGAATCTTCGGCTTTTACAAGTGAAAGCCGCGCGGAGAGCGAGAGATGTTATGTGTGCGCGGGGCTCGTCGTCGCGCGTATAATACGTGGCCTATGCAAAATTCCACGAGCCAAACGTAACGGGCTGCTATTGCTGCTGCTGTTTTGTGTTTTGTCGTTGCTGTTGCTGCATCGCACGTGATACTGCACCGTATCAAAAAGCTGCAGCCACCCAGCCGCGTGCGCGGATCATTGGATACGGATAACAATAAATAAAAAGCAGCAACGCATCGTACCGACACCACTGCGGAAGTTGTTATTAGAAGCCATTGAACATTAAATTAAAAAATAAAAGTGCGGCTGCAGGCGGAGAAACAGCTCAATAAAAACGACCTTGCCGAAGTGTTTAAGGATAATACAGAGAGAAACAAAGGAAAAACGAAACAAGGAGAAAAAGAAAAAAGGAGCGAGACGACGTCGGGTAGAGCAGCAGTCGTTAGCTTTCCAAGCGTGTCCACGTGACAGTGCCCACTGAGAAAAAAAATTAGAATAAAGATAAAACCGGAGCAACAAAAAGAAGAAGAAAAAAAAACTCGGCGTTGAATCGGGTACACTCAGAAACGATTATAAAGTGGTTTAGTGTAATACACGCACGCACACACAGCATCGTTGTCGGCGGCGGCGTCGGAGTAGTGCGCGAATTACATAGTGGCCGCGCCGCGTATAAACACACGCGCGCGCTAACTCGAACGCGCTTCTAAGTGCTGCTGCTGCTGCTACTTAAGTGGGTAGAGGGGCACAAGACACACACCGAGTAGTGCCCGATCCCGCGAGTGTTGCCGCCGCTGCCACAGGTTTTTAAGGAAAAACACTATATATACAGCACACCTATATATTATAAAACACCTTATGTACATTTTAATCCGTGGCAGACACACACGAGCGGCTCGCGCGGCCTGCCACATTAAATGCAGAGAGGCATATAATTCGCGCGAACTGGACGAACGAGTATAATACGCACATTGGTTCGCGCGCGCCGCGAGAGCATATCGTACACGCTGCTGTCGTTGTAGTAGTACTGTAGTAGTAGTAGTAGTAGTTAGCGTGTACTTTTATACATTATCGTGTGTTATTATGTATTCGTGAACCGCGAGCGCGTGTAACTGCCCGAGTGTGCCGCCGATCGGATACATAAATTCGCCGGATATCTCTTTTCGCTCCTTTTTTTATCTCGACATTTTTCTTCGTCTCGGCTGAAAGTTCCATTTGACTCCTTATAAACAGTTACTGAGTCCTGCGTGCAATCTCCGGTAGTGTTAAAGCTCGTACTAATATAGACTCGCAGAAGAAAAAGAAACGGCCGAAAGATGCTGAAGGATTACTCGCCGGTCACGCAGGCACTGCTCGGCACCCTGTTTACCTGGGGACTGACAGCTGCAGGCGCCGCTGTCGTCGTCGTTATACGCGGTAAACAGGTAAGATTCATTCATTTTCCATTCTTATTTATTTAAAAGAAAAAAATAGATCGATACATTTTGGAGCTATTCGGGACTCTTGTACATGTACTACAAGAGTCGACTGCTGCTACTGCGAGCATATGACGTAGTCGCAGCGAATGCTGATATAGGAGACATTTACCCATTGACATTCATCTCTTATATCGTCATTCGAATAAGCGATTTCCTTGAATCCGTGTACTCTCGAATTTCGCCGTGAATCTTTTTTTATATTTCTCCGAGTCAACGAAATAAAAAAAAATAACCGTCGTCGCGAGTCAACGCAACACGTCCGAGCGCGATGCCTTTTTAACGAATCGTTCGTATAATACCAAAGTTCTTTGAAGTGCATTCGCTGCTTGCTGCTCTCGAGTAGCTTGCGCATTGTCAAACGCAATATTTATTTGCCGAACGTTTTCCTGTTGTCACCGTCGTCGCTGCGTGCACACAGCTTTTATTACGCAACATTTAATCGTTATCAATGAGATTACGCGCGGCTCGATGAATTGCGCGCGTTTATTATACACTATACACCAGAACTCCGAGAAATTGGTCTGTTGCATCGCGTTCTCTCTTTAGCTTCTCGATAAAAAGCTTGGCTCGGTAAACTTGTGCAAGCACGACAAGTTCGCGCGCGCTCTCGATGCGTAATGCGACGATATTTACTTTTTTTTTATCTATGCGTGCAGCGCACGTCACACGCGTTTCCGCAACTGCTCGAATATTTACGCGCGTATCGACAATAAATATCAACGATCGATCAATATTTGACGATAATGTCAACGAGCGAGTGCACTTAATTTGGAAAGCTCGCTCAAAAGGTCAATTAACGAGACATAAATCGTTTCTAATTTTTAAGTCTGGCCTCGAGACAAATCGGTAGTGAAACTGTAATGAAAATAGCTATACCTGGATCATTATCTAGAGCGTCGGAAAAAAAACGGTGACGGCGTTGAAAAAATTATCTACTTTTGATTTCTCGTTCTCGGGCACAAAACCGCGCATAAAGCGAACTCGAGAACAATATTAGTGCACTTGATAAATCTCGAGCTAATTTCATTCCGTATCTGGATTTTTGGGCCAATTGCAGAGAAAACTGCTGGACGTGAGCCTGGGCTTCGCGGCGGGCGTGATGGTGGCGGCGAGCTACTGGTCCCTGCTGTCGCCGGCGATCGAGATGGCCAGCGAGTCGAAGCTGTACGGGGCCGAGGGCGAGTACGCCTTCGTGCCGGTGGCCATCGGCTTCCTCATCGGGGCGGCCTTCGTCTACGGGACGGACGCGCTCATCACGTATCTCGGCATACAGTCGCCCAACGTGCTGCTCGCCATGCAGTCAGTCGGTACGATGAACAGCAACAAGCGAAAGCAAAAAGCAAAGCGCAGCGCTCCTAATAAGAGCGCGGCTAAAACGAAAGGCGCGACGGCAAAGTCGGCGACAAAGTTGCCCGGCGACGACGTCGCCACGGTCGTCGCATACAGAGCGACGCGCTCCAAGACTAAGCTAAAGAGTGATAAAGAGGACATTGCGGCAGAGGTTGTTGTTAATGCTAAAGCCAGCGGGACATTTAAGGCCGAGTCCGACAGATACGATGGTACCCCCTCTGATTCACACACGCACACACACACTACACGCTCAGATATTGCTCCCTCTATACACTTTGTTGATGTTTTTTGTTTTTATTTTTACCTTTGTTGATTTTAATTTCAATATTTCTATTTATTCGTTTTCTACATCTTTTTTAGGTTGTTCGGGGTCATTTGATTTTTTTTTTGTTATACTTTGTATTGTACTTATACGTTGGTTTTGTATTTTACAATTTTAGTTTTTGTCTCGTTTTTTTTTGTTTATTACTTCTTTGTGATTGTTTTCTTTTTTTTTAGTTTGAATGCATTGTTGAATCTGATGACTGAGAATCTGCACTGGTATATATCAATGGTCAGAATCATGCTTATTGTTATGTGATGCAATTTTTCTCGAGAATTATTTTCATTGCGTAAGAAAATGAATATCTTAATTTTTTACTCTTTTCCCGAATAATTTTTTTTAAATACAAAAAATATATTCATATTTTTCATTTAAAAAAAAAGGATTTTGAGAAAAGTAAAAATATTTGTGCCGCTCTTTCATACGTTTATCGTTCAATCATTTACACTTTTGAAATGTACATCAACGTCAAATCCCATCATGTCTGAAGCGAACGTGCTGAAATTTTTTTTGCAAAGGATGCTTTTCAAACGAAAATTTATCAGAATTCCATCGTGCTGTTGAAGCCAAAAATTTTTTAAAATTCATATGAAAAGAACGAGAGTGTTGTAAAGCCAACCAATGCTCTGCTTCGTTACTTCTTTTTCGCTCTTATGTATATTAAGTTTTTGCATAGCGAAAGGCTGGATCCAGGCAGTGTTTGAAAAGTATAGAGCTTGCAAGTTTATCATTTTCTCGCGCATGTAAATTATTTTCAGCCGTAATATTACGAAACCTGACATATTTCATGATGGAGCGGCTGCCAATCGCGTTAATCAGCTATTTTACGTTGTATGAACTTTGCACATAGTGCACCGAGAAATAGGTAAAAAAGTAAAAAATCTTATTCGCGAAGACTTATCCTGGATCCGCTTTCAAATATAATTTTGACGCATGCCGGGTGGTTGGAATTTGCAAAGGTTACTTATACATTTTTTGACAAATAATTAATCAAAGCATGCTTCGAACATAGACATGGGTTATTATTTAAAATAATTTACCATTCTTTAGATAACTTGCTAATTCAAACGTGAAGTAATATTGACTAACTCTAATATTGTTTCTTTTGTTATTAACATTACAAAACTATAATTAACTTAAATTATATGTTTGATGCAAGTATAATTACAAATATAATCACTGGGAAGTAAAATTGACATTAGCTTTCAATTTGAAATCTATGTAAACTGACCGTTTTATGAAAATTCTATATTCTTACCTAAATATAAAACTAATCTATCTATGTGGTATGGGCTCAAGTACTCATTTAACTCATCTAAGTCATTTTTTCGTTGCTATATCTGTCACACATAATGTATGATTTAAGATCGCTAAAATTTTAATCATTCGTTATTTAATTAAAACTTAATGGTTGCTTGCGGATGGGAAATGGCTGACGTAAGCATAAAGACATACTACTTGGGTTACAATACTACTGGGATGAAATATAAACAATTAATACGCGATACGTACGCGTGGACGAGAAGACCAACTAATATTTGCGATTTTCGCAAACGCTTGGACACTATTTTCAGGTTTTTACGAGCAGAACGCTCGAAGAAGACAGCCGGCGAATCCCATCCGCAATCAGGAGTCCGGCGAGGTGATGGCCACGTACGAGGATCCCGGCAGCGAGGCCAAAAACGACCAGTGGAAGAGAATATTGTTACTCGTTATCGCTATTACTGTAAGTTCATTCACTTTCGGTATCGAATTATTGAAACTTGATCTTGACAAAGTATTTTTGTCGTGCTTCAAGGTACATAATATCCCCGAGGGACTGGCCGTAGGAGTAGCTTTCGGCGCGGTGGGCAGCAGCGCGTCGGCTACCTTCGAAAACGCTAGGTAATTATTTTTTTTCTCTCTCTCACTCTTTCATTTAACAGCGATCGCGTACTTGGGCGCGCGTACTTAGCAAAGCGATTAGAGCTTTATTGTCGTAATTATCGTGTATACGGACAGCGAATGTATAGTCAAGGGCGAAACACGTGCTACATCGTCGCTTTTACGAGGAGCGCATGTATTTTATAATATATTGTAATACACGTTAGTCCGACGTGACGCACGTATAGGCAACGTATAAATATTAGTCGAAGAGAAATCACTGGATTACCTCGTTGCAACGTCAGAGGTTCAAGTGTACGTCGATCGTTAACGTATGTGCCGCCGCCGCGGTCGCGTGATCCGCACGTTCGATTTTATTTACGTATAATATATATGCAGCGGCTTGTTGAGTATAATACATTAGCTGCGTATCGACGAGCAATGAAAATTGCTCCTCGTTTACTCCTTAACCGAATAACAGTGTACACAAACGTTTTTTTTTATTTCTTTCTCAGCGTAAACCATTAAAGTGAATAATTGTTAAATCATGCAGCCATGAAATAATTAAACACCGAGAATAGCGATGAATATAATAAAGGCTTCCCTCCGTCATAAACTGTCGATACCGCTACTCAACAATGCGATAATAATTGGTGCATATAATGGCACGAACATAGCTACATCGAAAGCTTCGTATACCGATTTTTAGCTCTACTTTATCCGCGTGGAAGCGAACGAGCCTCTTTACCGACTCGATCGCGTGCGCGCGTGGCGATCGTCGTCGACTTTTGCTCGGACTTCGTATAGATGTCTCTCATCTGGAAAATTGCGGATCATTCATGTTAACATACGAAACTGTACAGCGCACAAAGGCTTGGTGCAGCACTGCATGCTACATTACTGAGGTATATAGTGCATACATACATCTCTGGAAGGTAGGGGGGAAGTGCACGTTGCAAGGTAGGAGGTCTGCATGAATGGAGAGAAAACTGCAGCAGCAGCCGCGGCTGACTCTGTGCGCGCGTGTGTGAGTGCGAGCGTGTACGTATGTGTGCAGTGGACGCGATGTTGGTACACGACGGTGGCCCTGGAATCCAGCCAGCCTTAGGCGCCGCGCATTCCATCCCCACCCTTTTTCCGTGTGTCCGTATGTACGTATAGATGTGTGTGTGTGTGCATAAAAAAGTATATACAGGTATATATACATATTGTTGTAAAATGCACATCACAAAAGTCTTTCTCTCTTCCTCTCGCTCTCTTGTATGCGCTGCGCGGCGTATAACTCGCCGAGTGAGAGATGCTGCACGCGCACAAGTACATGTAACGCGCCGAGCGCATATAATAGGCAGCAACTTTTCAACCTGCGTCAAAGTAGCGCCCGGACTTTTTCACGATATTACAACGAGAAAAAAATCCGATAGCGACCTTGTAGCGATTTCTATTTATTTATTCTGCTCTCTGGCCGATGCTGCGGCTCGATTAACGCGCGTTCGACTGCGAGGCGATATTGCAACGAAAAAAAAAAAGAAAAAACAGCAGTTGCCGTAGATTTATCGAAAATAATGAAAACAAACGAGGAAAAAAAGCTCCAGCTACGCCGGCCGCACGAGCCGCAGGAGCTCAAGAAGCGTAAAAATGCTTACGAGGAATCTCGAGGCTCGTTTATTCGTATAATGCATGTTAGAATTGGTGCCGTATACGAGTGTGTGTGCGTGCAGAGGCAATTCGGTCGCGTGTCCAAAGTGCGAGAAAAAGAGTTTTTATAAAAGCGCGTCGAAGATTCCTGGAAATGAGCTCGAGCGCGTGCACGCGTGTGCTGCGCCGCTGCTGCTGCAGTCTACTTCTTATTCTTGCGCTTCCAGCTTTGCTCTTTCCCCCTTTTTCATCTTGGGCATATTCGCATTGTGTCCGTGTGTAAGTCATGCACGTGTGTGTGTGTGCGCGCGCGCTGCTGCTCGTATGCGTGTTTATTATGTACGTGCGCTCGCAAGGGGTTATATGTATCGGCATCGATGCAGCTCTCTCAAAGCCGCACGATCGAAAAGAATAATCGTATGCAGATATTTCCGTAAAAATTGAGCTCGACGTTTTACGTGGAAAAGAGAAGGATTGTATCGGCCTTTTTTTTTGCATTATCTCGCGGCAGAATCTGAACTTTCGTTTCTTACAAAAGGGTCGCATAAACAGCAAAATTGCTAACGAATGCGCACCGAGGAATGCTGTAAAAAAGATTGTATGAAAATTGCATACCGTGCATTGTTCGATGATTAAAAGTCTAATTAACGTCCCGGTCTCGTCATCAATTTGTTACGGCATGTACGAAGAGAAAAGGTTTAACAATGTGGCAAATGCTCGATCGTCGTAAAAATGTTTCCACGCACGTTTGAATAATTTAACGTGAAAATACATCGGATGCAAAATTGTTATTCATTCACACATGAACGCGGACCGAGTCAGTTCGAGAGAAAGAGAGAGAAAAAGCGGATTGAAAAATATTTACGCGCACGCACGATTATTACTCGTGCAAATAAAGTATATCAAGTGCGCGATCGCGAGCATAATCTATGACGACTTCTTTTTTCTCTCCTTCTTTCTCTCTTTCTCTCTCTTTATTTTTCCAAAGTCCGAAGACGTACATCCGGTATGTGTATATAGGCTACATAACTCGCTTACATACACGCAGATCGAATGTAGAGCGCACACTTGCGAATACATATACGCATTCATACCGATACACGCGTACAAATACGTATATGTATATATACGTGCAACATGTATGAATGGCATACACAGCATTGCTACAGCTTGACGCGCTTCGCTGATAAATCGCGTAAGGTTATCGTGCCAATACATACATAAAACCTAAGTCTGTCCGTCTCTGCGCGATTGCATACGTATATATTTGCTTACACATACACACGTATAGCACACATATTATTATACGTGTGCTTTGCTTCAATCTTCCTTTTCATACTCACTGCAGATGTATATATACGTAGGCAGTTCATTCATAAAACTGCGCGTATTGAAACGACCATTTGAACTGCGAGGCAGCAGCAGTAGCAGCAGTGACCGTCGAAGCGCATAAAATCTCCGCATATTCTTCATACATCGCATACATCGATTAATTTTAAATATCTTGTTGAGTGAAACAAATAACTCACGGAGACTATGCATTTTTTGCAGGCTATCGGTTGCAAATAAAATTGTTGTAAAATTGAATAGTTTAAATTTCTTGGCGTTATATGAAGCCATTCGCACAGATATACAGATATAGCATACGGGTGTAAAGACAGGAATAATACGAATTTCCGTTTGTTCGCGTTTTAAAACGATGGCATGGAATTCAGTTCGACCTCACCATCGGTGTTTTATAGTCTTATAAGAGTTGTTGCAAGCCATCGCCGAGGAGAGGGAGAGAGACTCGCAGACGTTCTAACGGATCAGTCGTATAGTCGTATAGTTGCACTAGCATAAGTACGTGTACACAGACACATACACATATCCAGAGATAGCCGATGCCAACAATTTATAAAAATATGTCCGCGCGTATTCGTACATTTAAAACGAGCGGCTCTGCGACAAAAATATTAACTCCGTTTGGTTCTTTGCACTGCTCAAGCGATAGTATACACTATTGCGTCTGCGCTGTAACGAATCGATTGAATTTTTTTCCAACGACTATATAGGAATTTTCGGTAGTGTTGTAATTCAGGGACAAGAGAGTTTGATTAATTTTGCGCGAGTTTTTGTACAAAAATATTGCGGTGTAAGTTGCATCTCGAGTACTCTTGAACAGTAATAACAATCGTGAGCACGCATCGAACGCATGATTCGCTCGTCTGTATCAATAACAAACAAGAACTCCACTTGGTATTTTCATTAAGTAACGATAGAGAATTAATTTTTATGAAATAACTGCTTCGATCGTGACGCGTTACACAGACACACGCGCGTATATCATGGGTGTGTGTGTCTGTCTGTGCATGTGCGCAAGAAGTCCATGTGCCTCGACGGCCACAGCGGAATGACGTTTTTTGCAAAGGACACGGGCGTTCATTGATCGCAACATCCGCACTAGACGACGATGACGACGGCCGCTTGAAACGTTGTGTTTGTTCAGAGGCACATTTTCATTAAACGCTCGCTGCTGCGTTTGTACCGTTCGTTTCGCTCGTATAGCCGGCCGCATGCACACGAGCTCGAGAGAATAATTCGAAAGAAATGCCTCCGGAATGGTCGCGTACATATATATATAGCAGCTTCGACCTTATCGAGACTCCGTATAGACGTGTCTCACTTATTTGTATATAAAATACGTGGCCGTAATTCGCTCGCAAAATCATCGATACAAGATGAATTGGACATTTATATGAATCGAGATTTGAGAGCGAGACGCGCTGCTCGTGTGTTGTACGTGTGCATCGCTTATAATGCCGTGCACATGCGAGTGTGCAGATTGGAATACTCGTGCGAAAATAGTAACCTCCCCCTTGGCTTGGGCCTCGGCTTTGTTAATCTTCGCATCGGAGAGCATGAGAGAGAGAGAGAACTGCGAGAGCAGCGCAAGATAGCCATCCCGTTCTATTTAGCTTATTATACAGCGAGCGAGAGAGAAAGAGAAGTAGCAGCAACAGCGGCAGTGAGCAAATCCACACTTCCAAGAAACGAAGCATCAATTTACCTGCGCGACTCTATGTGACATTCCATAAGCCAATATAATACTTTTCTCTCGACTCTGTGCATGGGCTCTCTTTCTCTCTCTTTCTCTCCACGCGGCGCGGAGAGCCTCTCTTCTGCGCGCCCGTATAGGTCTACTATATAGCGAGTCGCGCTCGCTTTTCTCGTATTACGCGCCCGCTGCCGTAGAATTGCAGCCGCCTCTCTGTGTGTTGTATGTATGCATGTATGTTTGTAGGCACCTTATGCATGGCATGTGCGCACATAGCACTGTCGAGCTCGCGCGACTATTGCAGCGCTCATTTTTCTTTGTCGCAATAATGCAATTCTAACTGCAGAGT